GTATATATTTTATGATTACTTAAGAACTATTATATTGCGCATCTTTTCATATAAAATAATCATATAAGGTAATTTTTATATTTCATGATTATACCTTTACATTCTGTATAATTACTCGTTAATTACGCTTACCAATTACATATTGAAATATGCATATTAAAGACAAATTTATACCTTTTCCAATAAACGTACCACCAAACTTGTGGACTTTTTCGAACTCTTCAAATTTAAAAATGAAAAAATACTATTTTTTTTTATTATCTCAAAAATAATAAAATGTTGTTCATATTTTATTATTATATAAGAAACAATATTTATTGCGCTTCTTTTGATATAAAAATCGTTAAGTTACATTAATTATTAACTAAGATATGTATTAAAACAAATATTACTCAGAATCAAATTTTTCATACCAAATTATAATGCAGACGAATCTAACATTGTCATGACTGAAACCACGTATGCAAGGGATGTTGTAGACAAAAAAAGAAAGTTTCTAACTTTTTGGCAGACAACGGATTTGCATTTGCATCGAATGCATGTTTTCCAACTTCTCGTTTTAGTTACTGCTTTTTTTTTGTTCTCTCGTTGTATTTAGTTCCGTGAATGTGGACATGCAAGTCTGCAGTGCCATTAAAAAGGACAAGGAGAAAGTCCCTGGAGGATGGACGGACGTATGGCATTCTGCCACGCACACGAAAACCAGTTTTACGCCACTTACGAAGCATGCGACTAAAAGTGATTAAAATAAAAGGTCGATAATCGATCATAAAACTGCCGCAATTATCACTCCTTCACCTGCACGTAGTTAAACTAATGCTGCTCTTCACCCTTTAGCATTATCACAAAAAAAAAGTTTACGTAATTTACTTTTACTAATATTATGTTAATTTCTGTAAATATTTGATAATCCATGAATTTTTTTGATTAACATAATTTTTGCCATTAATAATACAAATTGCGAAAAAAAGCTTATCCTGATGGAATAGGAAAAAAAGCTTGTATTAAGTAGGTTTATAAAGAAATATTGACTTTTTGATGAAGTTTGTTTTTATAAAAATATATAATGCATTATTTTATAGGGGAATGAAAATATTTGATGTAGTAAAAATGAGTAAATGAGTAAAATTCGTAAGTACTGGTGTTGTTAAAAGTTTTGTAAGCTGAAAATAGTTGTTGGAAGTGCGTGTTTTCGATGCGAGTGGGAATATTTGGAGATTATTGCGCTGCTGCTGTGGAAATGTGTGTGGAAGTTTATGAATCATTGATTCTAAACATAAAGTGCCCAAATACAAAGTCAACAGCTTACAACAAGTCGAGCATTAAATCCTTGATCACGACAATTATGTAAGTGTTTTGCTACAATGTTGGCCAGATTTTCCAATGATCGGATGCTGTAATCTCGGTTAACGTCGCAGGATTAGTCTGATGAAGATGGAACGAATCTCGTATACCTGATCTCATCAAAATCCCATCCAAATCCAAACAGTGTTAAATATAAAGAAAATTGATTTTTCTTCAATTTCCGTTGAGCAAAAACAAATAACTTCTTGTAAAACTTAAATTATTTAACAGTAAACTTTTTAATTTGTTTATACAAATTTTCTCATTGAAATATATGAAAAATTTAAAGAATTTATATAAATGTCGAAGGTCGTGAAATTATGCATTAATGCTTTTCATAACTGAGGGAATTTTCGTGGAAAAGAGTTTCCATTGCGCACGTGACGCGAGGAAAAGGAAACCGTCGGATGGGAGAAAAACAGACGCTCCTTCCAATATTTATAGTTTTACGACTGGAAAAAAACCATTATTTACTTTCCAAATCGGAGTTTTCATTAAATTTTCAAAACAGTTCCCGATCCCATTTCCATCCGAAACGTACATCAATAACATCCCTTGTGATTTATACGCAAGACGTACACAATTTTAACAATTGTGTTTGCTAGAATAAGCAAACATTATTTTATATATTCAGTAATAGAATTAAGTTATTAATCTAGTTCTAATCGAAACCAATGACAGTTGCTAAGGAAGCGTTTCTGTTGCTAGGGACGCTACGCTAGTTGCTAAGGACGCTTACTGCTATACAACCAATGACAGTTGCTAAGGATGCTTTTAGGTTGCTAGAGACGCTACCTTTCAGACAGTAACGATTGTTAAGAATTTACAACATCATACATATATTCAGTATTAGAATTAAGTTATTAATCTAGTTCTAGTCGAAACCAATGACAGTTGCTAAGAAAGCGTTTCTGTTGCTAGGAACGCTACGCTAGTTGCTAAGGACGCTTACTGTTGCTATACAACCAATGACAGTTGCTAAGGAAGCGTTTCTGTTGCTAGGGACGCTACGCTAGTTGCTAAGGACGCTTACTGTTGCTATACAACCAATGACAGTTGCTAAAGATGCTTTTAGGTTGCTAGAGATGCTACCTTTCAGACACTAAGGAACAATAACGATTGTTAAGAATTTACATCTTACATATATTCAGTATTAGAATTAAGTTATTAATCTAGTTCTAGTCGATACTAATGACAGTTGCTAAGGAAGCGTTTCTGTTGCTAGGGACGCTACGCTAGTTGCTAAGGACGCTTACTATTGCTAGACAACCAATGACAGTTGCTAAGGATGCTTTTAGGTTGCTAGAGACGCTACTTTTCAGACACTAAGGAACAATAACGATTGTTAAGAATTTACAACATCTAATAGTAGAAATACAGCCAATAACATTAGCTACTGTCGCTTTCCTAATATTACAGATGCTCTTCCTACTAAAGCCTGACAGTTGCAATGCAACCAATGACAGTTGCTAAGGAAGCGTTTCTGTTGCTAGGGACGCTACGCTAGTTGCTATGGATGCTTACTGTTGCTATACGACCAATGACAGTTGCTAAGGATGTTTTTAGGTTGCTAGAGACGCTACCTTTCAGACACTAAGGAACAATAACGATTGTTAAGGATTTAGAACATCTTACAGTAGAAATACAGTCAATGACATTAACTAGTGTCGCTTTTCTAATATTACAGATGCTCTTCCTACTAAAGCCTGACAGTTGCAACGCAACCAATGACAGTTGCGAAGGAAGCGTTTCTGTTGCTAGGGACGCTACGCTAGTTACTAAGGACACTTACTGTTGCTATACAACTAATGGCAGTAGCTAAGGATGCTTTTATGTTGCTTTCAGACACTAAGGAGCAATAACGATTGTTAAGGATTTAGAACATCTTACAGTAGAAATACAGTCAATGACATTAGCTAGTGTCGCTTTTCTAATATTACAGATGCTATTCCTACTAAAGCCTGACTGTTGCAACGCAACCAATGCCAGTTTCTAAGGAAGCGTTTCTGTTGCTAGGGATGCTACGCTATTTGCTAAGTACGCTTACTGTTGCTATACAACCAATGACAGTTGCTAAAGATGCTTTTAGGTTGCTAGAGACGCAACATCTTACAGTAGAAATACAGCCAATGACATTAGCTAGTGTCGCTTTTCTAATATTACAGATGCTCTTCCTCCTAAAGCCTGACTGTTGCTATGGAAGCGTTTCTGTTGCTAGTGACGCTATGCTAGTTGCTAAGGACGCTTACTGTTGCTATACAACCAATGACAGTTGCTAAGGACGCTTATAGGTTTCTAGGGACGCTGTAACAATTACTAAGGACAACTCAAGAAACTGCAAAATATGCATTATAGTTTAATTAATTATATAAAGCAAAATGTAATATAGTTAATAAAGAATTTAATTAGCACGGCGAACGAGCTCTGATATTTTACAGAGCACACATATTTCATCGAACAATGTAGCATATACGTCGATTGATTTATTTCAACGGGGAAAAGAGATTTTTCCACATTTATTATTAACACGTTGATTTATTATTCGCCTTCGCCCGTCTACATTTTCTTTCTTTTTCTTCTTCTTCATTTCTCTTCGCTCTCGAATTCAAGTGTTGCCAATGCGGCAATAATTCATTTTTCGTTCCTCCTCCGTTTTGTCAGAAATATCATCATCGATTGCAGCTTAATAATGTAATATATTGCATGAAAGTTTTAAGCGGATCGATTCGACGTTCGCACAATCTCCTCATCCTTCTGCAAATGAGCGGGAATTCTCTGCAGACGTGTCTTCACCGAGCGAAAGATCAACAAATTAATTATTGAAGCGACGAGGTATAGCTTATTAATGCTGTTACGAAGAGCAGAGATTGTAGAGTATTATAGAAACATACTTTGATATTATTTGCTTTGTGCCTTTAATACCTATACAACTTCAAGCATTTAGACTTATATACCAAATATGATACAGAATTATTAAAAAATCACCATATTTTCAGTCATTAGGAGAACAAAATCAAAAAATCTAAATGGATAATTAAAAAAGAAAATATACACTATATGTAACCAAATATGCAATAGTCGAGTATAAAGGAAAAGATATTAATTATCAACGACTAAATTTTATTGCACAATTTTGACAGTTTGTCGCAGGAAAACACTAATGTCCAAGAACTTAATAGTAAGCTCGTTGGAAAGGTCATAGCTTCTTCTTTAATCCACTCTACGATAATCCAAATACCAATAGAGATTATCGAGAATTGAAATAAAACGTTAAGGCTTAAAAAATATCGAAAAAATGCAATATTTGAATGAATAAATAACATTATGTAATAATTGTTATGTCAGCATATGCACACAAGGAAACAGCTTGTTGTGTAATAATAAGATATAAAAAAAGTTAATACTTTTTCAGTTAATTTGTGAAATATCTAATTTTTTTACTATAGTTTTTTTTATATTTTGACAGCTTATAACAAACGCACTTTGGTTGTTACAAATCTTGAAGTGGAAGTATTGGAATTGTTGCAGTTTTATCTTTAATTTGTGTTTTAAATCATCTAATTCGCATGAATGGTTGTTGAGTAATTAAATAAAATGTGTCAATACATTTTTTTTTACTTAAAAGGGTTTGCAATAAATTAAGATTAATTGAGAAGTTCAGTATCAGACTCAGAGTTTATTACGAATAATATAAAGATGGGAGAGAGAGGATAAAGAATTTTATGGTCTTTGGATCTTGCAGTTGCTGACCGTACCCAGAGTTTCGGCGTAGTGGAAATCGCAAATTGCTGCGTTATTCTCGAAAGTCATCTCGGGAACCTTGAACTCCGGATTCACAGCAACTTTGAGGGTGTAAACGCCCGGTTCGATGTCCGAGATGTCCACCCATTGACAATCCACAGTGTATTTGTATATATCCGAGCAGTTCACAGAGATTCCCTGATCCCCGTAGTTGGCACAAGCGAAACGAGGTTCAACTCCCGGCATACATTGATTATCTTCTAAGCAGAAGGAAGCCTTGTGTCCTTCAGCTACTCGAGATCCTTTGGAGTCGTATATGTCGAAAGTGGCAAAGACTTCCATGCTGTGGTAATGCCTAAAGACGAAATTAATAATTATAACTATAAACTTAATTAATTAACTTACATATGACACATGTGCCATTCCCAGAGATGTTTAGGAATCGCAGGACGGAAATCTGCAGTTCCTGCGTTCAAGATTCTCGCTGTGAACTTTAGAAGTCTCCTCGCTTCCAAATGCCATGAAGGGTTTTCCTTTTGAATAACGTAAGCTTGAGATGCTAAACAGTTCTCTTCCATTGCGCATTGCAGGAAGAACATCTGTCTGTCCTCTAAATGCGCTGTCCTCATGAGATCTATATGATCTATGATCAGATCAGCCATAGCGTCGGTGCATTGGACAGCAGCCACGTCTTTTCCCGTGCATTTTCCTCGTGTAGTCGCATCGTGATGACAATACGATAAGCTTCTTTCTTCTCCCGTGCAATTCACGTTGGAATAAGTAGTTGCTGTCAAATTTCCTCCGAAGAAGTCCGTCTGCATAGCTTCATTGGCATATCCCAGATTCAACGATCTATGAGAAAAATTACAAGTTTTATATCAAAAGTTCTCAAAAAATGACAGATGTCAAATGATTGTCAAACTTAATTATTAGTTTGACATATGTCAAATTGCTGTCAATGGTAATTATGTTCATTATATAACATACAATTTAGTTTGACACATGTCAAATAGCTGTCAATGGTAATTATGTTCATTGTATAACATACAATTTAATTTAACAGAAGTCAAATTACTGTCAACGATCCAAAATTCAACAATCAATAATTTTAACATCAAAAATTCTCAAAAATGACAGTTTACGGAAGTATTGATTATAATTTAACAGATGTCAAATTATTGTCAAACGAAATTATTCTGATTAAATAACATACAATTTAGTTTGACACATGTCAAATAGCTGTCAATCGTAATTATGTTCATTATATAACATAGAATCTAATTTGACATATGTCAAATTACTGTCAACGATCCCAAATTCAACAATCTACAAGTTTTACATAAAAAAAAATACAGTTTACGGAAGTATTGATTATAATTTAACAGATGTCAAATTATTGTCAAATGTAATTATTCTGATTAAATAACATACAATTTAGTTTGACACATGTCAAATAGCTGTCAATCGTAATTTTGTTCATTATATAACATAGAATCTAATTTGACAGATGTCAAATTACTGTCAACGATCCCAAAATCAACAATCTACAAGTTTTACATAAAAAATTACAGTTTATGGAAGTATTGATTATAATTTAACAGATGTCAAATTATTGTCAAATGTAATTATTCTGATTAAATAACATACAATTTAGTTTGACACATGTCAAATAGCTGTCAATGGTAATTATGTTCATTATATAACATATAATCTAATTTGACAGATTTCAAATTACTGTCAACGATCCCAAATTCAACAATCTATAAGTTTTACATCAAAAATTCTCAAAAATGACAGTTTACGGAAGTATTGATTATAATTTAACAGATGTCAAATTATTGTCAAATGTAATTATTCTGATTAAATAACATACAATTTAGTTTGACATATGTCAAATAGCTGTCAATGGTAATTAAATTCATTATATAACATAGAATATAATTTGACATAATTCAACGATCTACAAGTTTTACTACAAAAATTCTCAAAAATGACATTTTACGAAAGTATTGATTATAATTTAACAGATGTCAAATTATTGTCAAATGTAACTAGTCTGATTAAATAATATACAATTTAGTTTGTAACATGTCAAATAGCTGTCAATGGTAATTATATTCATTATATAACATAGAATATAATTTGACATAATTCAACGGTCTACAAGTTTTACTTCAAAAATTCTCAAAAATGACATTTTACGAAAGTATTGATTATAATTTAACAGATGTCAAATTATTGTCAAATGTAATTATTCTGATTAAATAACATACAATTTAGTTTGACACATGTCAAATAGCTGTCAATTGTAATTATTTTCATTATAAACATACAAATTAGTTTGACAGATGTCAAATTAGTGTCACATTTGGATATGGGAAAGATTTGATTATGCAATATTTCTTAAAGAGTGTTTCATGAAGTTTCATTACATTTTCGTATGATATTAATGAAGTATTGAGCTGTAATAGTGGTAATTAGCATGATTAAATTAAGTTAAAATATATGCGACGTTGCATAATGAAATTCTGAATGAATTTACGGCCGTATTGGCGTTTCGCTAATGAAGCTATTATTGTTATGATAATGGAATTTATTGGCGAATGTTAAGTGCGAGAATTCGGTTATTTACTGAATTGCATCAGTGCTGTTAATTAATTTGCGGATGCACGTGATGTCGTTATCAATTCCAATTAAATTGAATTAATTTCATTATCAAAAACGGGTGAATTCGATAACAAATAATAAAAGTAAATAATGTTTAGTGCACTTGTATGATTTTTTTGGAGTGTTATGAAAATTTAACTTGCCACCTGTCAAATTTGACAATTAACAATATTTAAACAATTCCTGAAAAAGTTTTTAAAACATACCAAGAGATCGTGTATTGAAAAATACCAATTGAAATAATGAAACAGAAAAATTTAATTTGAAAAATGAAACTGAAAATTTTAACTGAAAATGAAATTTCAAATGAAATTGAAAACAAATTTGAAATAATAATACTGAAAACGTAAATGAAAAAATGAAATTGAATATTTTAACTAATAAATAGAATTGAAACATGAAATTGAATAACAAAATTGAAATTATGAAACTGAAAAATACAAATTGAAAAAAATGAAACTGAAAATATTAACTAATAAATGAAATTAGAAAACAAATTTGAAAT